ATCACTCATAAGCCTCCATGAATGACCTTGAAAAAATAGGCTTGTGGGAGCCTCTATTAGATGAGAAAGCAAACTCTAAAATCTAGAGAAAGAAAAAAAATATATTCCTTTTTCTTTTCTTCCAAAAGTCTACCCTAAAATATACACGAACCTATATAGGCAACATAAAAATAAGAAAAGGAAATAATAAATCATTCACCATCTCTAATTCACATATCTCAAATCTAATAGGATTCCAATATCAAGTTGGTCTATGAGTGAGAATCTTATTGGGCTTATTATTTTCTTGGTTACAATGAATTAATAATCGACCCTGTTCATGAACCCAATTAAATTAATTTATTAATTAGTTTTTACTCTACTAAAAGAAATTAATTGAACTCCAATTAAATAATAAATAACCTCTAAGTCAATGTTGCACTTTGACCCCTCTATGCATAATTAGTTATCGGATAAATAAAGCCATCAATTCGACTACTTAATTAATATATTTATTTTGGTACTTTTGATTATTTCTGCCTCGATCACAATAAAACATTTATTTGACAAAAATAATAATTTAAATAAATAAATATATAATAAATCATTTTGTCTAAAAACATACGAAAGCCTTCGAATTTAATTTGTGATCAACCATAATCAATACAAAATAAATAGAAGTAGCATTGATGCAAATATTGAGAATATAACCTCTAACTATTAATTACATAACTACCCAAAGTGTCGGTATAAGGATCCCGAAGTATCCGCCGAACAAATCAAAATAATTATTAACTAATAAAAGAGTCTATACTTCTCTCATACTTAAGAGTTAAATGCCATGATAGTGATAGGGAGCAGTTGTATACGACGACTCTCGCAATATATCTCAACCTAACGCGAATCCAGTTCAAGTCTTAATTAATTATGAGTCCATCCATAATTACCGACTATGAACCATTTATGATTATTATTTATATATTTATGTATTAATCGCCATCACATACATATATATAAATATCTCTTGTAATCAAATGGATATTATCAATTTCATAATAAATCGAAACATAATATACTGAATTCACCAATTGTATAAAACATAAATATTTTAGATACTTTAGGAATATATATCACTTTAATCCAAACGGAAATTTGCTATGTCAGGGCATATAAATTCCAACAAGTGGGATTGCATTTAAACTTTGAAGTTTATTTTGGGTGGATTTAGACAAATGTATATTAAATCGAGAAATTAAAAAAAATAATAATAATTGTTTTATATATATTTTTTAATGTTATACGTTGTTCATGGATTATAGTATCATGGGTATTAACTTAATTTTCCTTATTTTAAAAACTTAAAAGTAAAAAAAATATATAAATAATTTAATTTTAGTTAAGGAAATAAAATAACAAAGAATATAAGATTTTTTTTTGTTTCAAAATTCTAATATAAATGAATATTATTAAGTCTCACAAATTTTAGTACCCCAAAATCTCAACAGAAAAAGAAGAAAAAACTCTACCAGTGCCATAATATAAGTGGTTTTCTTTCATTACACTGGTATCTAGTTACAAACTTTAACATTTTACTTTTTGTAATGTTTATTTATTAATGAGTTATTAAAAAAAATAGTTATGAAATTCGTGTGATATAGCAGGATTGTGATGTAATGGGTTTTTCGAGATTGAAATATGGTCGGGTTGTGATGTAATGGGTTATTCGAGATTGAGCTTGGCATGAGTTGAATACTAAAATCTCGGATTTGATATGGACTAACCGTTAATCCGCGTAATTTGTAAAATTAGTTGGTTGTACTTTGTGAAAGTAAAAACTCAATGGCTATTATATTATTTTAATTTAAATACAAATAAATTTAATAATTTAAAATATAAATTTAGTGATATAAGAAAAAAAAGAATTCATTATCAAACTAATTTTGGTTAAGTTCCGTCATATAAATTTAAGTGTATGTAATTAGGTAATATATTTTATGTTATGTTCGGGAGTTTTAAAATTATAATTTTTGGTGAGTACGTGGATTCACTTGTCGAAGTGTTGTTTTGTTTTATTTATTTATTTATTTATTTTGAGAAAATACATTAGATAAATCATTTGGTGGTTGAATGAATATACAAGCAACCCTCGTTAATGTATATGCTTTGTGTGTTGCTGTCTTACACGGTTTCTTGCTTCTACGAAATGTGACCCTCTTATTTCTTGTAAGAAAGCACGCAGAACCCACTTAGAACCTTCTTGCTCTTTTTCCAATTTCGTCTTTACCCTTTTATATATATGTAATAATATATAGCTTCACATCTTTGTACTTCTTCAATCATCACCAAACAGACAAAAATAGAGACAAACGTAAATACATATATTTTATCAATATAGATAAAGTGAAAAAAAAAAAAAAAAAATCCTCCAACAATGTCCCAATTTATCAATAATTTCTTAAAATATATTTTATGCACAATACTCCCTCAACCATTACATTTTATTACAAAATACTACTATGTCCTATCTAGTTTTTATTAAATGACAATGATACCCTTCCTTATTGAATTACACTACAATTATCTATTTTTCTTATTAAAGTAAATTATGAAAAAAAAAATTCATACTTTGATGACATAAATTTGCATAAATTTACCTATAATCTTTGAAATTAATTTCTTAAATAAAAATCTTAAGTATAATTTTTTAAAAAACAATTTAATTAATTTCTTATTTTTTCAAGAATATATTGCATGAAAAAGAAGGTATTTATATTTAAGTAATTTTTAATTTTTCATGAATATATTGTATGAAAAAAGGTAGTTTTACAATTAAAAAATTAAACGGTGTATAATAAGTTTTATTATAAAAATAATAAAATTTTAATAATAAGTTAATCATTTAAAAAATGGTAGTTACAACTCCATTTAATAAGAAATGAAAAATTTAATGAGATAGTGTAAAATAATATTTGTGTTGGGTTTATCCTTAATTGTAACAAAGTAATAGTTTAGGAAGGTAGTTTGTAGTTTAAGGGAGTTATTTACAAAAGGACAATAGTTCAAGATATATTTTTTTTATACTTTACCCTAAATTATATACATAGTTGTTGGAGAAGCCTAAGAAGAACAATTTTTGGCTGAAATTGGGAGGTGGGTTTGATGATTTTTGAGTAAAATAATTTTTTATAATGAGTTTGTTCTAAATTACAACAAATTAATAATTCAGGAGGTAGTTTATAGTTTTGGAAGAACTAATACGTTGGATTGGCTTCATGTGATGCTTGATTTGATGATTTGCCGACTTTGATTTCTAAATTTCGTTCATCCCTCACTCTTGATCAATTTTATGATTGGATACGTTAAACGGAGTGTCAATGATTTGTTTGGATGTGATATAAATTAACCAGTTTTGATTCGTATTTGGGAAATGATTTTTTTGCTGGTAATATTTTGTGAATATTGTGATTCACAATAAGAATGTTTTGTGTTTGTCTTTGTTGGCTATTGTATTAGAATATTATAAAAAGATGGAGAATATATGTAAAAGTTATATACATTGATAGTGCTTCTTCCATAAATATACAGACCGTTAGATTACTAAAATAGGCTTCACTGTCTTTAAATTTTTTGTCCGTGATTATATTTACACTTTCCTTTGAATTTTGTAGTAGCATTGTGTTTTTTTCACTCTCATTAATGGCTCTTCATTTTGTTATGTTTGAAGTTTTATGCTTGCCTTTTCGCTTGTTGCTTATTTGCCTTTCAAAATCTATGTGTTTTTTCTGGAGTTATTTTTGAAGTGCATGGTGCATGGTGTAACCACTTCATACTTCTACTCTTCATTTATGAGATTTGAAAAATCATGAGAAAACATTTTGTTTTCAGACATTTTTTATGATAATATTAATATTTTATTCTCTTTGTTGTAAATTTTTTTTATTTCCTTTGTTGTATTTTTTTTTTTCTTTTTGAAAGGAAATTTCTTTTACAACAATGAGAATAAAATATTAATATTATCATAAAAAATGTCTGAAAATTTTGCAGAGCTCTTTGCTTTGTTTTGTTTGAAATTACAAGCTTCTATTTCATTTGTTCCTTATTTGCTTTTCGAATTGCATGTGCTTTTTTTTTGGAACTATTTTTATAATGCATGGTGTAACAACTTCTTATTAATGGTAGGAGCACTTCACTTTGTTATGTTCGAATTTTATGTAGTTTTTTTTTTTTTGTAGTGCATGATGTAACCACTTCTTCCTTATTTTGTTTATTTATGAGATTTGAAAAATCATGAGAAATCATTTTGTTTTCGGACATTTTTTTAAAGACAATATTAATATCTTATTCTCTTTGTTGTACATCATGCATTTATCATCTTAAAAAATGACCAATAAAATTTATTTATTTATTAGTTGTCTCAAACTTATCAAATTTTGAACCAAACTTTGGATGTACACATCCTCATCAATCAACTTCTTATCAAATTTAGTATCAATTGTCAGATTACTAAAACAGGCTTTAAGATGTTCAAATTTGCTCAGTGATCTTGGTTACTCTTTTCTTTGTATTTTGTAGCAGCATCGTATCTTTTACTCTCATAAAATATGAAGCTCTTCCCTTTGTTCTATTTGAAATTTGAAATTTGAAATTTCTCTTTCACTTGTTGCTTATTTGCCTTTCGAATTTTATGTTTTTTTCTGGAGTTATTTTTGTAGTGCATGATGTAATCACTTCTTTCTTATTCTATTCATTTATGAAATTTGAAAAATAATGAAGAAACATTTTGTTTAGACATTTTTTAAGATAATATTAATATCTTATTTCTTTTGTAGTACATGATGCATCTATTATCTTAAAATTTGAAACGCTAGGGGTATCCATTGTAATAAGGACTGATTTCGAATGAGGTAAGTGATATTTTCTCTTTCCAAAATTATGGAAATTCTAATCAAAGATGGTGCCTATTCTTTATTTATTACAGAACCATAATTATATTAAGTTTCTTGCAGACTTGTATATTAACTCTACTTCTAACCAATAATCCTAGAGCGAGGATATTTCCTTCATTCCCATTGAGAGTACGCAAATTCCGTACATAAACTTATCTTCATCGTCTCTCTCTCTCTCTCAAAATGAATAATAGATTCTCCGTCGGTCACCTCCGATAAAATTCATCCTCCATCCTCCATCCTCCATCCTCCTTCCTCCCATGACAACCACCACCACAACCCTCTCTTCCCCTTCTCCTCCCTGGTCTCTCCCTTCAATTTCAAGCCCTAATTCTGACCCTGACCCTAACCCTAATTGCTTACTCGCCAATAATCCTTCAAACTCACCCAACATGGCACAGAACTCTCCTGCTCCTCCCTCCTCTTCCTCCGACTGCTCCGACCAATACTACCAAACCCTTGAAGAGAATCCATCTTTTTCCGATCTCGGCGACGCGCCTTCCACCATATACGGCGATCTCAACTCTGACGACGAACGCCAATCTCTCCCCGATAACTCCGCCGAAGTCCCACCCTTTACCGAAAACCCTAACCCTGATTTATCCCTACCTTCCCCTCCAGCCCCGTCTCTCCTCTACCTCTCCTTCAACCAGGACTCCGGCTGCTTCGCCGCCGGAACCGATCGCGGCTTCCGCATATACAATTGCGACCCATTTCGCGAGATTTTCCGGCGAGAATTCGACAATGGAGGCGGTATCGGCGTCGTGCAGATGCTGTTCCGGTGCAACATTCTCTCGCTGGTCGGTGGAGGGCCGGAACCGCAGTACCCGTTGAACAAGGTCATGATTTGGGACGACCATCAGAGCCGGTGCATCGGCGAGCTGTCGTTCCGTTCTGAGGTCAAAGCGGTGAGGCTCAGACGGGACCGAATTGTGGTGATTTTGGTGCAGAAGATCTTTGTGTATAATTTTGCGGACTTGAAATTGTTGCATCAAATCGAGACAATATCAAACCCTAAGGGTCTCTGTGAGGTGTCGCACGTTTCGGGATCGATGGTGTTGGTGTGCCCAGGGTTGCAGAAGGGGCAGGTTAGGGTTGAGCATTATGCATTGAAGCGGACCAAGTTTATAATGGCTCATGATTCGAGGATTGCGTGCTTCGCGCTTACACAGGATGGGCGGTTGCTAGCTACAGCGAGTAGTAAGGGGACCCTGGTTCGGATATTCAATACATTGGATGGTTCACTGCTTCAGGAGGTATGATGTTGAAAAACGTAGGCAAGCATTTGCATATACATATTTTATATGTTGTGAATTGTGACGTGTATGGATTCTTTCAGGTACCTTTAGCTGTATGAACTCAGAACTTGTGCATTGGGTGGGTGATATTAAATTCTCAGAACTGAAATACTTAACATTTAAACCTTGGTTGAGTGTTTTGAAGTTATAGTGTATATTTTAACGATCAGGCATGAGAATTAAAGTTAAATATACTTTTTATAGGGAAAAAAGAAGAAGTAAACAGACCGAGGTTCGAGCAGTGCTGTTAAAGGTGCTGTTAACGGTGCGCCTCGCACTTGTTGGGTGCCCAGGTGTGCCTTTGACAACATTTGCCTTTTTATATGGAATATGAATATGCTTTGATAGTATAGGCTCCAAAGGTCCTCATGCGCCTCGCTTCACTCTTGCCTCACTCGGGCCTTGCGCTCCAAAAGACCTCTAACGCCCTAGTGTGCCCAATCAAAGGCCCATGGTGCTAGAGGTCCTTTGGAGCCTGGGTGCAAGGCGAGGAAGCGAAGCATATTTATATTCCATATTAAAGCCACAAATGTTGTCAAAGGCACCTGCACACAACAGGCACAACATTTGCACTTGTATGAGCCTGGCGCACCTTTAACAACACTGATTATGGGTTAATTAATAAAATAATACAAAGTTTTAGAAGACAAAAACAGCACTCATCTAGTTCTAAGCTCCAAATTAGGGATTTCATTCATGATAATGTGAATAAAATGAGCAAAAGTTATTATGTATAATTATAACAATAATAATATACTATATTATTATTTTTTGATGTATCCTTGCCGTATCCGTATCATGTTGTACCCGTATTCGTATGCCTGCTTTTTCAGGCTATGTGATTAGGACTGAGGACAGCAATAAGAGGGGCCAAAGGAAATGACCTCTTGCCTAGTTTCTGTCTCTGTTTTGAATTTGTGACTGATTTTGTGTCTCTGTTTTCTGAGTATGCTTCTGGATCTGTTTCAGAAGAACAAGTACTTATTTTTTATACTAATGGTTAATTACTCATATGCATGGAATGCTGAGGAGGTCTATGTGTTGTATGAATTGGTCCTATCATTTTTATTGACATTTAATTATTAACAATTCATGCCACCTTTTGTTAATTTTTTTGCATATCAAATGAAGGTAAGGAGAGGTGCAGATAGAGCAGAGATTTACAGCCTTGCATTCTCTCCTACTGCCCAGTGGCTAGCTGTTTCAAGTGATAAGGGAACTGTCCATGTCTTCAGCTTAAAGGTTGATTCTGGATCGCTAGGAATTGAAAGACAGCGCAGTACACCTGAACCAAATGTCTCTACTCCACAAGCTGTGTCTTCTCTCTCCTTCATTAAAGGTAATATGCCTTTACAATTTCTTTAAATCTTTAAATAGACTTGTTTCCAATGTAGTATTAATTGGCTTCTCAAGAAACATAAATTAGGCTGGCCAAAGATGGCTTTGACCAATGTGTCAATTTTTTTCCTGCTCATCATAGAGTGGGCTCCACATCCTAGTCAATTCTTCATCATCATCATCCTTGCCTTAATCCCATATGAATGGGGTTGGCCACATGAATTCTCTCTCTACAATCTTTTTTATTACATGTCATTTCACCTATTATATATAACTTTTTAAAATCAATTTTAATAACCCCATTCCATGTTATTTTAGGTCGCCCTCTTCGTCCTGTTTTGACCGGCGCATCTCTAAGTCTCCGATGTAAGTGTCCAAACCATTTAAGTCTACTCTCTCTAATTTTCTCACCAATGGGTGTCACACCTAATTTTTCTCACACTTACTTTAGTGACCCTATCTTTTCAGTCACTCAACTCATCCATCTTAACTAGGATGGGCTCCGCATCCTACTCAATCCACTTGTATAAATACCATGAACAGTTGATAAACAATTTCTCAGTTTTCAACGCCTTCAACACTACCAAGGTTTAATGTTGACAAGCTGCTCCTTAATCATGTAGGAGACTCCCTAAGTGTGTGTTAATGAGGGTGACGTCTGTAACCCGATGTAATGGTGTAGTGGTATAGATATTACGAGATCAGTTAGGATGGCAATATGGACTCTGCATAAAGATATCTATGGTTAACTGAGGTCAATGGGGTTCTTATCTTGCAGGTGTGCTGCCGAAATATTTCAGCTCAGAGTGGTCTGTGGCTCAGTTTCGCTTGCATGAAGGTTCTCAGTACATTGTTGCCTTTGGTCACCAAAAGAACACAGTCGTGATTCTCGGAATGGATGGGAGGTAATATATACCATATCAACTTCATATATTCCCTGGCTTGTAATTGTAAAAAAAAATAAAAATTTAATTCCCTGGCTTGTATTAGAAGAAATTTGCTTACCTGAAAAAGGGAAGGAAAAAAAAAGTATTAAAAGAACGCTTTCTTTATTGGCAAACTAACTAACAACTTTTTGGGCCTGACAATTAACCAGCATATATGAGTTGAGGTATCGCAGGCTCTTCAATCCAGTATACATGTAGTGCTATGCTAAGTTATATTTCTCTAGCAAAGCCTCCCCCAACAAGGTCTATACTCTATACCTCCATGTGGGTTAGGCAACTTGTTTACTGAGAGGCATTGTATTTTGTATTGGTATCATATACTGAAAAATGATCCTTGCAGATACTATTTTGACGCTTTCGAAAAATTCCATAAATTGAAATAATAATAAGTTTTTTATTTCGAACACATGTATGATACTCGCAGATACAAAAAACATGTAAATTTTTTTTATTTCGGACACGTGTATCAAAATGTAGCTTTTCTAGTATAATATGTGGTAGTCATTAGGAAAAGCATATAGCATGATGTAATTTTTACTTTGAATTCTTACATAGATACATATATATATTTTTATTTTCTTACATATATACACAAAATAGATACAAAACATAAATATTGTTGGCTCCTTGCCGTATTTATGTCCTGTTTTTTAAGAGTTTATCTTGTCAGTCTTTATCTTGTTTTATCCATATATCTTGTCATGTATTAAGTATTTGTGTCCATACTTCATAGGTCTTTAGTACAAGTTGGCATCACCTTTATGTTGAATATTTATCATCTCATCATTCTGTGGAAACAATTTGATTTCTGATTTTATGTCTTGCATGTAAAGTTTTCTGCTTCCCTATTCTCATAGCCATTCTGATTATTGCATCTTGATGCTTAGTCATTACTTATTTTTCAATATGGAGAGTTTATACGTCCTTTTGTCATGATACTGTCAGTTGTCTTAAAGCTGTACATTCTGCTATTGTTGCTGTTGTAATTGCATTAATATTCAAACATGCAAGTATTCGAAATGAGTTAATTGGAATTTCTTGACTGATGAGGTTCTTGTCTAGCTTTGATGGGAAATCTGGCACATGCTTAGGGGTGTAAACAAATTGAAAATAGATCATATTAGGGATGGTCTGGATCTGCTTTGATGCAAAAACATTAAATCGCTATCCTTATATGACGGTTTCACATAACATAGATACAATGTAACAATTGGATCTATTATGACAATCCAATATGATCTGAGAAAATTAAGTCACGTCCTAATTATCAACATAACCTTGGTCCAGTGTGACAATTGGGTCTCTGATAGGATAGTTGGATTTAATTTGAGAAAATAAGTAAATATGTAAGTGACATAATATATTGTATTATTGATAATTCAGATATGTATTAAATATGTAAGTGACATCATATATAATACATTTGAGTGTTTTTTTTTTAAAAAAAGTCATGGAGTGTTTTATCACTGAATTTATTCTTCGCTTTCCATATAATGGCATCTATGTTAAAAAATAATTCGAACATGTTATAGATAAAGTGTGTGTGATCAAAATCTTATATTTAATGGTGTATCAAAAGTTGTAATTTGCACACTTTAATAGACAGAGGTTCTGAATCTATTGGATTTGAGTCAGAATATTGTTTATTATGGGACCCGTTTTCTGATTTAGTTAATTATTAGTGTTTTGAATCTTTTAGTATGTTTTCATATAATAGTTTGTCGTCCCAATCCTCCTTTTTTGGGGTTTTTTTTTTAACCCGGGGGGGGGGGGGGGGGGGGGGGGGGGGGTGGTTGTGGGTGGGGGAGAATTTTATTTTATTTTAATTTTTTTGTGCGTTCCCATTTAACATGAAATTTTTTTATGCGTCCCCTTATGGTGATTACTGGGATTATAAGTGCATGCTTCATAACTGTCCAAATCCATTGCTATTTGAGTTCTATGCAAAAATTTGTAACTGAATGATGACCATCAATTTAATTGTAAATGCAGCTTCTACAGATGCGAGTTTGATCCGGAGGCTGGTGGAGAGATGACTCAGCTGGAATATTACAATTTTCTAAAGCCGGAAGAAACTTTTTGAAGGCAAAGTAGTGAGAATATATTTTTTTAGTGGAATGGTTATTTACTTTATGGTATTATATATTTCTTAGTTATTTATTAGGGGACTTAATAGGGGTTGTAAATATAAATGCAAATGTAAATGTGATACGCGTTGGCCGGCCCCATTCATATGGGAATAAGGCAAGAATGATGATGATGATGATGATGATGATGATGATAATAGGCTTGCAGTAACTGCGTTGGGCTGTTTATGTATATTACTTACTACCTGTTTATTTGTCCAAATAACAACAATGGTTCTATGCACTTCCATCTTCAACACCTTGTTCTTGTGCACACTGTATAATGTTTATTACTTTATATGACCATCTGTATGGAGGCAGCTAATCTGAAGCAATCTTTTAGAAACAAAGAGATGTAGTAGTGGAGATTGCTTGGCTTAGAGAAGCTTTTTTTCCACCTCTCTTTGTTGACCAGTATTGGTACCAGCTGTATTATCCAATTTTTGGTAGCTTCAGGTTTTTATTTATTTAATTAAATTTTTTTTTTTTTGAGTTATGTTTTTGGTATCTACACATACCAGTTTGTGCCCTTTTGTTATGAATTATCTGAAAAAAGTTTAATAGTTGAGAATCCTGTGTCTGCCACTTGATGTGGTGTTTTCCCATTTAATTTGGATATTTTGCTTTTTTCAACGAGGGACAAACTGCTGCTGCATTTGAAATACTCCTGTCAATCCTTGCATGCTAGAGAAGAGTTCAGACAACTTTTCAGCTAAAATACAGTAAGAGATCACCTGTGGGAGTTCCATAAAAGAACGGATATCAATTGTTCAATCTCATATTTCTTGTAAATTTGCCTAGCAACATCAATCTTTCCTAACCATACGAATCCATTTGTTTAATTACTTGCATCCAGTTGGCAATGAAAGAAGAATTCTGTTTGTGACATTAATCACATGAAGGCAGCCTGTATGTCGATTCACACGCTGCTCAAACTTTGCATAGTTCTGTAGGCAAGGAAGGAAAAGGCCAAGACAAATTCTAATCAACAACCCGAAGAATTCTTCTTTATTTTTTAACTATTTTTTTCATTCATGTTTTTGGAAGGTGGGATTCCCGAACAAAGGGAAAAGAATGTAACGAACAACAACAACAACAACAGCATCTGCAATCATCTACATTTTGTCCCTTCTTTTTGAAGCTATTTGTGGTTTCTATGTGGCAAAACTAACAAAAAAAGCAGCACTGCCTTCAGAACTCCGGGTTTGCATCCTCTGGTACCACAGTCAACAAAAATGAAGTATCATTCTCTCTTTTCACAACTACATTTAACGGCATCCCAACTTGGCCTTCCATTAGTTCAATGATCTGTCACAAATGCATTAAAAAAATGACGTAAAACAAAGCCAGCTACTAATGTACTAATGGATGGATGAGCAGAACATTCTCTCTTTTCACAACTACATTTAACGGCATCCCAACTTGGCCTTCCATTAGTTCAATGATCTGTCACAAATGCATTAAAAAAATGACGTAAAACAAAGCCAGCTACTAATGTACTAATGGATGGATGAGCAGAACTGAAGGGTTATGTGGGTTTTGCACAATCAAACCTCTAATTTAATATTGTAGTTCTATCCGTCCGTTATATATAGGGGCTCATTGCATGGTGCAGTGATGAATGCTCAGACAACCAATCGTAATGATGCAGGTTCGAGTTGTGCATAATGTCAAAGGTTAGATTTGTAGCAATCGCTCCTCCTAATATGGATACCATACTAGGTAATGGTCTTTTCCTCGTCAAGCCACTATATCAAGTCTATTTTCTATACCATTGATTCTTCTACTTAAGGTCCAGCATTCATCCGATATTCTGCAATAGAGTGGATGCAGGGATCAGGTTGCTTGACGGACCAAGCATATCTGATTAACTTTTAAGAATGTTTTTACGTGAGGATTCCAGAATTAGGCATCAAATGATGCTTTCATCACCATAGAGTTCCATGAACCACATGATCCATATATCAAAACCTAATTTATTGCCTCAAACCTAATTTTTAGTCCAGCACTTAAAGGCGACATCAAAATTAAAAAAATGGAAGTGTTCAAATACCTCACCGAAGCTCCCAACTGGCTTCCCATGGAATTCAATGATAACATCACCCGGAAGAAATCCGCTATATCAGCAGGTGACCTGGGAGTTACCTGGTCAAAAAATTGTAACACTTTCAAAGATGAGAACCATGCATTTTCTTTTAATAAAAAGAGGTCCACATTTGTGTCCGTGCATGATTACACAATGCATCATTAAGACCCATGTCACATGGCCTTCTCTAAATGCGTGGAGTGAAGTCACGTTCAAGATGGATATGCAATAAAAATCTGACATTTTTGCTTGGATATGCACCTAATAAGCTTATTTATGTATTCCTTTCGTTGCATTTTTTATTCAAATGACTGAAGTGGCAATGTCGAACACTTTATGATACACAGAATTACAATTTTACGCTATAAACCAAGAAGAAAAATAAAATATGAATACTTTGGGTTCAGGGATTTGACAAATCCAACACACACGCACCCAATGCACATGCCCGAGTCCATGTAACATGGATTGAGACAATGATTAGAGAATGTGTCGTTGGGACGATCATATGAATATTTTATACAATTGTTGCTTGAATCAAAAGCTAATATAAATGAATATGTGAAAACCTTATTCCCACGAGGATGCGAAGGCACACTTACAGAGTTAAAATTGATAATAAATAGAAAGCAGCAAATTGAGGGGAAAAATAACAATGCAAGATATTCCTCGTCCCTTCAAAACACACACTCTTTCTACATAATTTCATTCATCATTTGCCACATAACCCAGAACAAATATAATTTTTGTTTCAAATTTGAATTTCAGGCGGAACTCGCTTGTCTCAACTCTCAATATAGAATTCGACAACATAGACCATCAGGCAGTACTAAAAATCTTATGTTGTGAAATATCTCAGAAACTTTTTCTGATAAAAGCCAATCCCAGAACTCTCAATGCAGGTTGCTAGGGGTAGACAGTATAGAGACCCGCCTATTTATACAAAGTGACTACCCTTAAAGTCAAACCCGCATTCTCACATTTGACAGCTTGAGCTTTTACCATTTTACCAAATAACTGCCCCTTCTTAACACCTTTTCTTATAAACAAATTAAATATTAATTAAAGAACTGGACAATATCTATTATGAGAGAGGCTAATCAATCACGACAAAGAAGATCATAGATGGTGGTGGGGTGGGTGAACAAAAGCAAAATCTAGTCATCTTAATGAGAAACATATAAAGAGATCCTTTACCGAGGAGTGGCACAAGACAGTTTGCTGATTAAACATACCAACAACTTTGAATAAAAAGATTCCTTCCAATCCTCTCATTCCAAGAAAAAAAAAATCATTTAATCATATTCCACGGCCTCCTCTTTCTCCTATATTTGCAATGCTATTTCCAGAAAAATTCATCAATGGAAGCCTAAATATCCCAAGAAACAAACCATTGCAAAAAGCAGTTTCCAAATATGATATGAGATATGGCGTTGCAGTGATGCTCCCACTGCATGGGGTGATTAGATGTGAAGGAGACAGTCAACACAATATATTATTTTGCACATATGGCTGCTCTCAAGTGCAAATCCATGTCCTAGCTTTTACTGTTGCACCAAGCAACGACCCCTTAAAGAAAATAAAGGGAGTCAAAAGACAAAACAGACTGATGAGAACATATGAGAGAAATTCAGTTAAGATGACTTGGCCTTTATTTTTCTTCTCTTTGATTGTGGGACACAAATCGGTCATTTGGAATGGATATAAAAGATTCAAGAAAACTTAGTACAAGGACCAGGGGAGGTAAAGAATACAAATCTAATCATGTACTAGAAAGGCATTTGCAATGCCATGAACAGAGGAATGTCCAATTGCAAACGCAATTTCCCCATGCAAAAATGTGATAGGGTAATGTAACAGAGATGAGTTGGCTGGAGAAGTAGCAGAATAGAAGACAAAATACTGAGAAGAATACATTCATAGAAAGTAGAAGGCAGCACCTATTTGTGAAAAGATGTGAGAGAGATTCAATTAAAATGTAGTCCCTTTTTGGCATGTGGAATATAAATTGGCCAATTGAAATAGAGATTAATGAAACCGGTATAGATTAAAAGGTTAAAGAAAACACGCTATAAAGAGGGAAAAGGAGGTGGGTTGAGGTTGTGGGGAAACTCAGGCAACCTATGTTTTAAAGGGAGTGAAAATGGTTTGGGTAGGGTTGGATTGAGCATATACAATTACATCTAAACTTCAGTACAAATCTAACCTGTTTAATAAACAGGTTGCAAGATACAAATACTAGGCAAAAGAAAACTATAACCAGTCGGGTAATGCACTGATGTCAAAAAGCAAAGTTGGCAGAACTCAAATATAACAAAATTAAATCTATTTTCTAGAAAATGCAAGTAGGATGACTCGCTGTGTCCAAAGTAAGCTTGAGTCGATTAAATTATGGACAGGTTGAAAGAGGCTAACCCAAACACAACCAATTTAGGGATGATTGAGCAAAAATTCGCCAACCCCTAGCCTTGACGATAAATAAACCTTGTATAGTAGGTTTCACAGAGTTCATGTGATCAAATGGGGATATTCAAGAAATTGCATCACAACAAACCCGAAGGCCGACAAAAGCAAGGAAATATATTTCTTTGATTTCCTCATATATAACAAGGTAATTAGCTCCCAAGAAATTCAATGACTAAATACAACAAAAATCAATGAGAAAACATACCATGTACACAAGAACACCCTTGTTAACATTAGGAAACATGGGATCTCCATCTTTAAGCTGGGAAACAATCGTGTTATTAAGATCAAGCATTTTCATTCCCAGCCATGGCCGAAAATCTCTCCTGTACAAAATTAGAACTTACAACAAGTGCCATAAAAGAAACTAGTAAAGATACAACCATATTAAGAAATGAATTTTCATGTACGTAAAGAACTTTATTTCATAACACCTGAAGAAGAACAAACAGCTCAAAGATCAATTGAACGCGAGTTAACATCCCTTTTGCAAGGATTCATCATACCCACCCCCTTCCTTTTTCTTGTCAGGGTGGTTTAGTTTTAAAAATGAAAATATTGAGGTAAGGAAATACCATCGAGTCATTAATGTAGTATGGAGAACTGGAAAAGTTCCACTTTTGCAGGCCTAATCATTGCAACAGGAAATCATTCACTACACTACCAGTTTCCTCCCCCCTAACCCCAAGCATCCCAGACAGGAAAAA